CTGAACCACTGAGCCCCATCCCCAGCCCTATTTTGTAGTTTATTTAGAGACAGGGTCTCACTGAGTTGCTTAGGGCCTCACTTTTGCTGAGACTGGCTTTGAACTCGAGATCCTCCTGCCTCAGTCTCCCAAGCTGCTGGGATTACAGGAGTGCACCACGGCGCTTGGCTTACATGTTTCAGGTTTTAACATTTTTTATTTTTTAAGGGGAAAGTCTTTCCTTTATAAAAGGACAAGAAAGGACTGGGGCTGGGGCTCAGTACTTGCTAGCATGTGTGAGGCACTGAGTTTGGTCCTCAGCACCGCATAAAAATAAATAAAATAAAGGTATAAAAAAAAAAAGCCAGGTGTGGTGGTTGTACACCTGTCATCCCAGCAGCTTTGAAGGCTGAGGCAGGAGGATCATGAGTTCAAATCCAGCTTCAGCAACAGCAATGCCCTAAGCAACTCAGTGAGACCCTGTCTCTAAATAAAACACAAAATAGGGCTGGGGATGGGGCTCAGTGGTCCAGTGCCCCTGAGTTCGATCCCCGGTACCAAAAGAAAAAAAAATTCTTATGTTTTGGAGAATGAACGGATGTCCCACCCACAGACGGGTCCTTCTGCCACTCCAATTCTTGCTTGGACGTAGTGAAGATGGCAGGGTTGGCCTTAGAGAGCACAGCCCCTGCTCCAGCAGCAAGAACTGCACCTCTTCACTCTGCTGAAGACCTGAACGTGTTACATGGTGCAGTTGTTATGCAGAAGGTAGGAAATAGTAGGTGCTAAATAAACATGTACCAAGTAGTCATTCTCTTTTGTCTTGACTCAGGCAGAATTTTGCAGAGATACCTGGGGTTTTCAGGATCCCTTTCACCCAGTGGTTCTTCCTTCTCCCAGGAACGCAAAGCCACCTTTGGAGATATATTTGGTGTCGCACCTAGCACCTAGTGGGCGGGGTCAGGGATGCCACTAAGCATCTTGGGATCTGCAGGACAGTTCCTGCACCAAATGACTTTCCAGCTGGAAAGGTCAGCGGTATTGCAGGTCAGAAATCCTGCTGACCATAGAAGGATTTCTGCCATAGCTTGTCAACAGTTCTCCAGATTCTTACTGAAGTATTACATACTGTAAATTTCTCACCATAGAATCTGTAGGAGACAGGGTATAGACCTCAGTTCTTCTAGTCTCTGGATGGCATTATGTTCCTTATTTGGAGATGGCGTGGTGGTGCACGGCTATAATCCCAGCAGCTGGGGAGGCTGAGGTAGGAGGATCTCAAGTTTGAGGCCAGCCTCAGCAATTCAGTGAGGCCCTAAGCAACTCAATGAGACCCTGTCTCTGAATGAAATATAAAGCAGGCTAGGGATGTGGCTCAGTGGTAAGTGCCCCTGGGTTCAATCCCTGGTAGAAAAAAATTTTTTTTTCTTATTTGGGATGAGCAGAAGCAAAGGACATTAACAGCATCTCTGATTAGTTTTTGGTCCAGTCATTTGAAATCACAAGATAAATGTCTTTCCTTTCTAGCATCATCTGTTATATTTATCATTTTCCACACTATTTTAAGAAGGCTGGGTTTTGCAGCTAGTGGAGCTTGTGAAACTAAACGCTTGTCTTCAAAATACTTCTCTTAAATGGGAGGTGGCTTTTCGTTTGCATTACATTAAATTGAAGGCATTTCTCAGAAGAAATAGAATAACAAAGAGCATCACCTGAAGGGACCTTAGCAACCCGGAGATCAGCAAGATCAGCGGGGAAGATGAAAGGTTCCCAGCTCCAATGGAAGCAGGTCCCTCAGCCCTAACTAGCCTTTAGCATCCCCCTCCGGCTCAGAGCAGGTGAACGGTCACTGTGATTTCTCTTGATAGAAAAACGGGTTTAATTCAGTCGCAGACAACTAATACCCCGTGAAACATCAGAATTTTTATTAGGAAAAGATATTTAGGGCTCCAATTTTTCTAATCTTACAGTATATTGAACAGCTTTTCAAAGTCACAAATAGCTTTGCAAATAACAGACTTGCAAAGACCTCATAATTTGAAATTTGAAACCCATTTCTTCCAAGCAGCAGGATCCTTTTAAACACCTTTAATAGCCATTCACCTTTTATTGGGCAAATAGAGACCCTTCAAATAACTTGAAAAGATATTCCCTCCCTGGGGAGCACTTCTCCTCTCCTTTTTTTTTCCTTTTTTTTATTGGGGTCAGGAGCACTTAACCACTGAGCCCCATCCCCAGCCCTTTTTGTATTTTATTTAGAGACAGGGTCTCACTGAGTTGCTGAGGGACTCGCTAAGTTGCTGAGGCTGGCTTTGAACTCATGATCCTCCTGCCTCAGCCTCCCAAGCCGCTGGGATTATGGGCTTGTGTCACCACGCCTGGCAAGTTTACCTCTTAACCCTTGGCATTCTGTAGGTTAGTGTCAGCTAGAGAACAGAGAAAAACTTCAGAGGAAGAGAGAATAACACGAGATGGGGACGCCCTTCCATTTGCAAATTGGAACCATTTGTTTAACAGCGTTAATCATTTTTCTTTCAAAACAAATCACAGCAATTTCAGGTTAATGCTTCCCGGAGAAGTTCACTGTGGATGAGTCAAGTGACCTTCAAAAATGCCACGGGCCCTCCCACCCCTCCCTTCTGGAATTGGGGGGTTGAATCAGATCCTAGCATCAGCCACTGCCATGGTTGGTGGAAAGCCTTCCCGGGCCTCGGTGCCATCCAGGACGCTTAATGGTGCCAGAGAACAATCGGCTTCAGTAGAAAATTGCAAACAGGTTAACTTTGGAAAGCCCAGGGCCAGATTTAGCAGGAAGCAGGCCCTTCAGGTGTCACAAGAAACAGAATAAGCTCCTGGCTCTGCCTTGGTGCGGGGACGCCATGCTCAGGTGCTGGGGGCAGAAGGCCAACCCCTGCTGGAGTTTTCTGACAAACTCAAACACGTGTGCTTTTTTTCTTAAACTGATTATTTAAACTCAATATTTCATTTTTATTTTATTTTATTTTTTTTGGTACTAGAGATTGAAGCCAGGGATGCTTAACCCCTGAGCCACATCCCCAGCCCTTTTAAATTTCTTTTTATTTTGAGACAGGGTCTCCCTGAGTTGCTTTGGGCCTTGCTAAATTGTTGAGGCTGGCCTCAAACTTGTGATCCTCCTGCCTCAGCCTCCTAAGCTGCTGGGATAATTGGTATGCGCCACTGAAATCTTTACTGAAACAAGAAATGAAAGATACAGCCACAACCCACAGGCTGCTGGAAAGAGCTTATTTCCTGCCAATATCCCAACACAAAACTATCTTTGATGCTCATGCACAAGTTTTCAGTGACTATTTCTAGTCTAAGAAAGATTATTTTCTTCTATGTAGTAAGAATCATAAAACCCAAGTGCCTGTAGGGCCTAGGAAAATAACATGAAATACATTTAGTGAGGACTCAGGTGATTTAGGGACATCAACTTTTGTCTATAAATTAAAGCCTGCTCTCAATTCCCACCAGTTAGGTCTTTGCAGAAATAAGATCATAGATTCGCAAAATCTGATATAAATACAAACACACACATCATCAGATATTTCTACTTTCCAAGTACCATTAATTAATTAACTAAAATTAATCAGCACCTAATTACTTTTAAATAATAGTTTGCTGGCTAGATAAATCCCACCTGTATGCCCAAGTTCATCTGCCAGTTTGTGAAGTTCAATAGAGAGGAAGAAAATGAGAAATAAGCAATAGAAAGAGATGCTAGACGTTTCCCTCTGTTGACATGATGAGTGAATTCTGGGGTCTTTCATGATTATAAAGGACTCTGTGAAAGCATCACCATATCTGAAATTCCTTTTTATTTTTGGTACCAGGGATTGAGCCCAGGGGCGATTAACCACTGAGCCCTATCCCCAGCCCTTTTTTTTTTTTATTTTGAGACAGGGTCTCATTGAGCTGCTGAGGGCTTCTCTGAGTTGCTGAGGCTGGCCTCAAATCTGTGATCCTCCTGCCTCAGCCTCTCCCACTCAAATCACTGGGGTTACAGGCATGTGCCACCACACCAGGCAGACCTAAAGTTCCTGATTCATAATTTCAAAGCTGTTTAAACTTTAAAAGAGTCTGACATAAAGAGCCCCAGAGAATGAGGTTTAATGGGTCAGAAGAAGGTAATGGTCAAATACTTGAGCTTCTGGCAAAGCTCACAAAGAAAATGGAGAAGACACTCAGGGTACGGACCTGCTTTTAAGCCAGCCTGGGGCTGTTAGCTGAGAAAATTCCAAGAACCGGAAAAAAAAAAAAGTGCAAAGCAAACTCTATATATTACTGAGAAAAAATACAGCAGGGCAGAGAGAAACCAAATTCTTCTCATCAAGCCAATAATATTTACCGCCTCTGGGTAGTGCCCAAATATTTCAGGAAATGTCGATGTCTTTCTTTGTCAAGTCAGGCCAGACTGAATATTGAAACACAGCATATAGCACCAGGAAGAATAACCAAATCAACACCTCCGCCTCCTCTTGTGCAAAGAATCTGAACAGGAAGATTCCTGGCCAGGCCCCAGAGAGATGGTGCATGCCCATAATTCGAGCAGCTCTGGAGGCTGAGGCAGGAGGATCATGAGTTCAAAGCCAGCCTCAGCAAAAGTGAGGCCCTAAGCAACTCAGTGAGACCCTGTCTCTAAATAAAATACAAAATAGGGCTGGGGATGGGGCTCAGTGGTTGAGGGCCCCTGAGTCAATCCCAGGGAGGAAGGGAGGGAGCAAGATGCATGGCCAGTAACCCTTCTCTTTTCCCCACTGACAGTGACTGTTTCAAAGCGGCATGTCCCAGAGTCTCTAGATGATCTGGGAACGATACAGAAGGAATCTGCAGTGGACCCGTGGGGCTCCACGTCACTTCCCTCCCTGTTTCCCTCTGACACCCCGACTCTTCTGGCCCCAAACCCTGGTCTGATGGATGAAGTCCACTCTCGCTCTGAACCGCGGTCAGGAAGGAAGGCAGGACAGTGGCCAGGGCCACCCTCCCTCCGGGCACAGTACCTGCTCGGGCTTCAGCCCTGGGGGCACCCAGGCGTACTCCTCCAGGGCGCAGCCCGAGTCGTCGTCCGACGTGGAGTTCCTCTGGAAGTCGAACATGAGTTTGCTGATGGTCTTCTCCATCTCCAGGGGCATCACTGTCACCATGTGCTCCTCCTGGGGACACTTGCAGTGCAGGCAGATCTTCCTGTGGGTGGTAAAAACAGGGTGGGTAAGAGGGAGGACTAAGAAACCACCTGGTCAAGGGCCTGCCAGCCACCAGCCCTTGGATCCCACACAGTCCTGGGTGACAGGCTTCTGAGCACACCTGAGGGTGTGGAGGGTGTGGCACACGTGTGTCATAGGAAAACAGCAAGAAAGGTCAGGGTTCACAAGGCACCCATGTTGAGGATGTTGATGCTTGGACCACAGACTTCTCTTCTAAATCAATAACCCAAGCTGGCCGCAGTGGTGCACACTGGTAATTGCAGTGTCTCAGGAGGCTGAAGCAGGAGGATCACAAGCTGGAGGCCAGCCTCAACAACTTAGTAAGACCTTGTTTCAATAAAAAATAAAAAGGGGGGCTTGTGGTGGCAGCTCAGTGGCAGAGCGCTTGCTTAGCAAGTGTGAGGCACTGGGTTCCATTCTTAGCACCACATAAGATAAATAAAATAAAGGTATTATGTTCATCTACAACTAAAAAATTAAAAAATAAAAATAAGTACATAAAAAGGGCTGGGGATGTATCTCAGAGGTAGGGTGCTCTTGGGTTCAATCCCCAGCACTGCCAAAAAAAAAATAATAAAAATAAATAAAATGAAAATAAATTAATATCCCAAGAAGAACAGTAATATAATTCTCACTTTACTAACTCAACCGCTAGATATTGATCATGATCACAATTTCCTCCACTGTTATACCAATTAAATATACGAAATAAATACACTGACCAGAAACTACCAGTAGATTCAACAAACATTGACAACATACTGTTTTTATGTTTATTTATTTATGTATATATTTTTGGTACCAGGGATTGAACCTAGGGGCCCTTGACTACTGAGCCACATCCCCAGCCCTATTTTACATTTTATTTAGAGACAGGGTCTCACTCATTTGCTTAAGGCCTCACGGAGTTGCTGAGGCTGGCTTTAAACTCTCGATCCTCCTGCCTCAGCCTCCCGAGCTGCTGGGATTACAGGAGTGTAACACCAAGCCTAGCGATATACCCGTTTAATAAAAGGTTCCTAAAGCCACACACAAAAAATAGGAAGAAATGGTTTTAAAAAGATCCATGGATGATATTTTCTTCAAGAAGAAGAGCAAATGTATTTTTCCCCCACTAGACAAGCCTGGCCCTGAGATCTCATGAGAAAAGCATTTTTACCTCTATTAAAGGTCCCTGGTTTGAAATTCTAATTGGAATCCCAGATTTTCCTGTATGTTGGAAGTTTTTTATATATACAAGAAGATCGTGCATCTGAATTATTTCAAAAGGTAGCAGCCAAAGATAAAAATCTCTCCCCCAAACTGAACATTTCTGTTTTAAGGTTACCATCTGTTCCCTTATCCATGGCTGCAGAAACGAAGAAGCAATCAAAACACCAAAGTCAGCGCCACAACAGCATTTCTATTCCATGTGTCCTCTGATCCTTCCTCCTGGTTCTCTTAGCAATCTTCGTTTATAAAGGCAATGAGAGAGCTCAGGATTCTGGACCCCAACCAAGACTGAATTGTTTGACAACAGCTTTGTTAAGATTAACACTTTGCTAACATGCACAGTTCATTAGCTCCTATTATATTCATGAAATCCTCCGATCATTACCCACCCCTCAAAACGCCATGATCTTTAACAGTGACTTCCCAAACCCCCCACGACCATGTTCTCTGATAGACACTAATCTATTTTCTGTCTCTATTGCTCTTTCGATTCTTCGTGTAAATGAAACCACACAATATTGCATCCTTGGAAACTGGTTTCTTTCACCTAAAATGATGCTAAGGTGAATCCAAGTTGTAGCATGACTCAATCCCTCATTCCTCTTGATGGCTTAATAATATTCTGTTGTATGGACATACCACAATTCGTGTTCACCAGCTGACAAATATTTGCACTCTTTTGACTTTTGTGAATAATGCTGCTCTGAAAAATTAGATACAAGTTTTTTTGTGTGTGGCTACATGTTTTCATTCCCCATGAGATGCTATGTAGGGATGAGATGCTGGGTCATACCTCAGTTTATGTTTAATATTTTGAGGGACTGTCAAACTGCATTACAAAATATCTGCAACACTGCCTTTATCAACATCAGTGAAGGAGGGTTCCATTTCCCCTACATCCTTGACAAACTTGTTACTGTCTATCTTTTTGACTGTAGCCATCCTAGTGGGTATGAAGGTGTCTAATTGTAGTTTTGATTTGCATTTCCTTAAAGGCTAATCAAGATGAGCACCTTTTTATGTGCTTCTTATATATCTTTTTATGGAAAAATATATCTATTTTCCCCATTGGGTTGGGTTGGGTTCTGATTGTTGTATTTTAAGTGGTCTTTAATATGGTTTCCAGATACATGATTTACCAGATATACAATTTGCAAAACTTGTTTCCTCATTCTGTGGATTGGTCTTTTACTTTCTGGATTATATTCACTGAAGCATGAAAAATTTGAATTTTGATGAAGTCCAGTATTATGGTTGGATGGGAGGTGTCCCCCAGAAGCTCACGGGTGAGATGGTGCAAGAAGGTCCAGAGGAGACATGACTGGGTTGTAAGAGCCTTAACCCAACCAGTGAATGAACCTCTGATGGGATTAACTGGGTGGTGGCTGGAGGCAGGTGGGTGTGGCTGGAGGAGGGGCATTGGGGGCGTGGCTTTGGGGTCTCTATTTGTCTCTGGAGAGTGGAGTCTCTCTCTGCTTCCATCACCATGTGAGCTGCTTCCCTCCACCACACTCTTCCTCCATGATGTCCTGCCTCCCCTTGAGCCCCAAGGGATGGAGCCTGCTGTCTGTGGACTGAGACCTCTGAATCTGTGAGCCATTAAATAAACTCTTCCTCCTCTGCAGTTGTTCTGGTGGGTCTTTTAGTCACAGCAGTGAAAAAGCTGCCTAAAATATCCAGTTCAGTGTTTTTCTATTGCTCATACTTTGGTTTCATATCTAAGAAACCACTTTCTGGGGCTGGGCTTGTAGCTCAGTGGTAGAGCACTCACCTTGCATGTGGAAGGCACTGGGTTCGATACCCGGCATCAAATTAAAAAAAAAATGGGGGCACTGAATCCATCTACAACTAAAAAATAAATTAAAAAAGAAACCACTTTCTTTTTTTTTATCTTTTTTTTTAATTGGTTGTTCAAAACATTATAAAGCCCTTGACATATCATATTTCATACATTAGATTCAAGTTGAAGAAACCACTTTCTAACCCAGGGTTATGTTTTCATTGAGGAGTCTCATGCTGTTAGCTGTTACACTGAGGCTGATGAGCACCTTTGGGCTAATTTGTGCTGTGGTATGAAGCCCAACTTCATTCCCACATAGCTACCCTGGTGTCACAGTGCCATCTGTTGCAAAGACTATAGTCTTTCCCCAGTGAACTAGCTTGGCCCCTTCATCAAAAGTCAATTTGACAAAGGGTTTCTTTCTGGATTCTCAATTCTATTCCACTGACCCCACATCAGTACCCCCCTGTCTTGATTATTGGAGTTTTGTAGTAAGTTTTGAAATCATGAAGTCTGTGTTCTGCAACTTGTTTTACTGGAAAAAATGTTCTAGCTCTTCTGGGTCCCTTGCATCTGCACTCATAAAATGTGAATTTCAGAATTAGTTTGCCAGTTTCTACAGAAACTCTAGCTGGGACTGTCATGGAGACTGCAGTGACTCTGTAGGTGAATTAAGGGTCACTGCCACTTTAACAATGCCATCTCTCAATCCATAAAGACAGGATGCCTTTCCATTTATTTATGTCTGTTTTAATTTCTTTCCATGATATTTGGTATTTTTTAGGCACAAGCTTTACCCTTCTTCAGTTTAGTTTATTCCTAAGTATTTTATTCTTTTTTGACGTTCTTGTAATTGGAATTTTTTCCCTGATTTCATTTGCAGATGGTCAGTGCTTAGAACCAGATATGATTTTCTGTATAGATGGTGTCTCTACAATTCTTTCTAACAGTGTGTGTGTTCTTTAGGATTTTTTATACACAAGACCATGTCAAATGTGAAGAGAGAGAGTTCTACTCCTTTCTTTCTAATCCGGTGTCTTTTTTTTTTTTTTCTTATCTTATTACCTTGGCTGGAACCTACACAATATTGAACAGAAGTGGAGAGACTGCATACCCCCATGTCTTGTTCCTGATCTTAAAGGAAACTTTCCAATCCTTGACAAATCCTATGTCAGCTGTAGGGTTTTTCTGTAGAAGCCTTTTATCAGGCTGAGTGTTTTTATCAGGAAAGGATGTTGGATTTTGTTAAGTACTTTTTTTTTTTTTGCATCTATTGAGATGATCAGTTGCTTTTTGTCCTTTCTCTAATACATGTGTTATGCCTGAATTTTGACACAGAAATGTACTTAAAGAAATAGAATCAGTTTAACCCAGTCAAGTTAAGCTGTCCGATTCTCCCACCACGTGGGTCTCACCATACTGAAAAATATACAGATGGTACACAACCCCCAGATCTGGTTTGCATCTCCAAACTCAAAGAAGTTCCATCCAAACTCTGGATGTTGCTTTTAAAAATAGAGCTCATTTTAGCAGAAAAATCTTTAATCAATCAGCTACTGAAGAGGTCAAGGGTGTTGTAAAGCATCAGGAACTCACCCCCTCCCTCCCCAGGAAATTTAAAGCTAGTTTCTGTCATTGGGGGGGGGGATTTTAGTGTCTTCAATCAAATTTAGCAAGTTTTGTGGCGATGACCATAATTCAAAAACAAAACATAGAACATTTTGTAAAAACCAAATTCAGATCCCAGAATCTCCATTGATGAAACTCATTTATTCGGCGGCAATCCAGGGGAGAGAGTGACATTTAATCCTCGGTGGACATGACCCAGTGAATATAAGATGCAGAAGGGGTGGGGGGAACATGAACAAAACCATGAACAAACCAGATTCAGAATGTGCCTTGATGTGTAAATGGGGAGAGTGCTAAGGTCTCCATTTGGTCCCTCAACAAATAACTATCAACTCTAGGCACCTGAGATTTCTAACAAA